TAACTAAGAGTTGTACAAAAGGAAAATATGAAAAGAAGAATGGATACTTAATGTACAGATTTGCACCCACAAACCTCAAATACTCTGCGAGACATCGCCAGTATAGTGCTGATTCAGGCCTTAATTCCCCTGATTCTAAGGTCCTAGTTTCCTTATTGAGACCTAAGTTTTCAATGAGGTCAGCATAAGGGACATCACGAAACATGGACTGGAGAGCTAGCTCAGCTTCTTTGACAGCAGTCTCAACATCAAGACAAGAAAGCAGATCCAGTACATTTCCATTGACCATGCGCAGCCATGACTGGATCAGATTTTTCTCCACTGCTCCTCGGACTACGTCACTACGATCAGTCAGTCCTTCGGCAATGAGCCGCACTCGCTGAGCAATTGTCAATGACTTCAAGTGCACCTTTCGGGATATCACTTCAAAAGCCTGAAAGTTAAAAAATCTTCATGAAAGAACTGAATACAAGTTTCTACGATTTGATTTTTTAAAACATGGTATGACTATGTATAATCAATCATTGCATGACATGAATTGATTTAAAAATGGGGTAAGCCTATCTTTAAGGGACTGTCATTACCTGTCGACGAACGAGATCTCGTACATCACGAGTACGCTCTAGAATATCAGGGAGGGTCTGGAAAGTGATGGCTATGCTCGTCAAAACTGCCCGTCGAACATCACTGTTTGGGTCCATTGACAGGTGGTAACGATATGCTGAAGAAGAAACACATATTACCCCCCCTACAACCTGGATGATGTGACAATAATGTCATGAAAAAATAAATTTGGCTTGACGGCCGGGCAAGGTGAGCTTGCCATCATGGGAAAATCTGGCTGTGTGCCAAGGTAACAAGAACTTGCTGTCGCAACATTTCAGCTGAAAGCTAGGGTGTCTCCTCACCACCACCAGCTCTTGGAGGATGATTAGAATCATTTGGTGTTTAAAAAGGGGCCTTTGCATTATTTCCATTGATAAATGAGTATGGAATGTAGTGTCTGTGTGCCATGACTGGAAGAGTGCCAGCTCCAGGGACACTGCTATTTCCATGCTCAGCAATGCAGGTTACTCTTGTTATTATTCTTACAATGAGTTATGGAGTACCTATAGAGATGATATGGAGTATGTGCAAGGGAACAGTCTATTACCATCTGGATAAAGCAAAAGACAAATAATGACATTGGAAAATGGTCAAAAAGCTCAAAACACTTATGCATAAAAAAAGAGGAAACAACATTGCAAGGGGAGGTACAGATTTTTGTTACTGTACACGAGTGTTTGTATGTGTCTGGCCTACAGGACATGCACCAATTAGAGCAACCACTCACATAAGCCTAATGCCTGTATTTTGGGCCATGTAATTTCTATGAAGCAACTGAATCCAATGGGTTAAGTCTCCATATTTTAAAGATTCTACCAATTACTCTAAAAGTCAACAGCCAAGTTCACATTTCTTTTCCATATCTCATCCTGACATATTCATTAGTATATATTCAGACTGCAAACAAATAAATAGTAGCTTCTGGTACTTGCTGGAGTCCTTCAGTTCACTAACAACTGTTTACTTATCAAGCTATCTATAAAATAATGGAATACAAGAGTGAAATTACATGAACATGAAAAGTAAAGAAAGAAATAAAAAGAAAAGAAAAAATAGTAATAAAAATTGTCCAGAATAAAAAATCTCCTTCAACAACTATCCCAAATAACACAGGAGGTAACAAACCTTTGATTACAGGGCATTCCTTGTTACGTGGATCCTGGAGACGGGCCAAGGCCAACACTGCCTGGACTCGCACACTTGGTATTTTGTCTTGCAATCTGTGCAACATTGTGTCATAGATATTGCTGTAGAGTTCATCATCTATGACTGCCTCCTCACCCATGTGGTTAAGGATCTTGTTGATCAGCTGACAAACTCTGAAGCGCACAGCTTGGCTATTGGCCTCATGATTCTTTATGGGTTGAAGAATTGCAATCAATTACTAACTAAATAATACATAATCTATTTAAAAATACTTACTATTCCATATAGACATTTATTTCCAAGAAATTTCCTGTGCTAAAAGGCCATTCATGCAATTTAATAAGAAATTAAGATAAAAGCAATCTAGATATTCAATATCAATTACAATGGTCAACTTAGGCTATCCTTACATTTAGTAGAAATTGGATCAATTTTACAAGGAAAGGATCTGCTTCCTCTGGCTCTTCCTCTTCCTCCTCGTCATCTTTTGCTTTCTCTTCTTTCCCATTTTCTTCAGTTTCAGATTTTTTACTTGTTGCAAATTTAGCAACAAAGTTCAATGTCCTTTCCACAGCTGGCTGCTTATCTCCATGTATAAGAGATTTCTTCAATAGACAAGTAAATTCAGAAAGAAAATTCTCAAAGTCACTCTGAAAAATGAAAAAGACAAAAGATTTTATCACATCCTGCAACAGGTGATTATTCTTAACCCATTGGCGCCAGGTGTCACGTACGTACATGCCATGGCTGTTGTGGACCAAACGCCGGGGGCATCATGCCATGCCCATTCCCGCGCTACTGGCTCGTTGGACGGAGGTTGTTTTTCTCCACTAGTAGCGGCTTCATTTATATGGTAAAGATTTTAGGCAATGGCACCTAAAGTGAAGGTAAACCTTCAAAATTTTAATATTCTTATAAATTTTAGAAAAATAAAAGCTTTTAGGTGCTACATGTCGCTCGCAAACTACCGATCGAGCCGGGCGCAAACAGGGGAAACTGCCAGTGCGCGCTAACAAGCCGGTGCATACGTAAACTTGACAAAATTTTTACCTGTCGCTGATGGGTTAACTATTCTAATCTTAGTATTTTCTTGGCATATCATAAAAAAAGAATCCTTTTCTATGGTAAACTTAATTTCTTAAAATACAAAAGATCAAATATGCCAGTCCTCTCATCTGACTTTCTCGTCCTTATGAAAATTTGGCCATTATTGTAGTTGGAGAACATGACAGACTGAACTGTTCATCTACGATTTGTTGTGATTATCAAATAACTTTGGATGAATATTCATGCACAAACTAAAAACATAGGTACATCAATAAAAGCTACACATATTGCCTCAGCCTACCTTCAAGTAAGTTCTTGTCAAATGTTTCACCAGTTTTGGGTGAGATGCAGCTGTACGCTGGCAATCAGCAAAGGCTTGTTTTGTGGTCACCATCTTGCATATCTGCAACAGAGCACAATATTTAATATAGCCATTCACATCAATAATATGATTGCCAATTGATAATCTACAGCAATATTAGACCAGACTGCAGAGGGAAACAAACTGAGAGATGTCGGGCTACATGGCCTAAAGTGATAAATGTTTTGTTTTAAGCCCTGTTATTTTTTACTTCTGGAGTGTTTAATCTTAGTTCTGTTATAAAGCAAGGCTTAATTTTCTGCATTTTCATGAACCTGAACAACTACCAAATTGTATTATTAGATCAAATTTTATAATCTGGCAAGACAGCTTGTGATTTCTCATCATACAAGGGAGCAGACTAATTCCTCTGTTAACACAATATAAATCATTGAGGCTTGACAGTTTTTGATGAAGCCTCATAGGCCATGAGATAGCTGCAACTTCTTCACACTGAACTGGTACAGTATTAGGAAAGAACACCGTCTTCCCTAAACTAACAAATTATGATAGCTTTTTGTTTCATATAGCTATTCAACCCTGCAATTATTATTTATGGTTCCAATTATTCACAGCATAACATGCATGAATCTTGTTGTGGTAATTCTTTACAGTACGGAGACACTCACCAGAGACTAGGTCCCAAACTCGTTACAAAATTTATTCAACAATCAAAGTTACTGTGACTGGGATGGATGACCCCAGCAAACATGGTCTATTTGCCCTAGCTAAGTGCATCCATGCTGTAAAGATTAACCCAAGACCTCCACCTGATCTCTGTATTTCCATAACTGCCCCCCCCCCCCATCACCATGGGCTTAGTCTCCAAACAATATTTGTTACAACCTATTTTCTTCATTGCTGACATTATTATTTGCCTAGCAGATTATTTCATGCAAGAGCAGTATTTTCTCCAGTTTATGACAGTCAATAGTTTTTACTTACTTTTGGGCAGTAACATAAATTTACATAACATAATCCTTTTAATTCACTGGCAAAGGAAATGAGGTTAATCTTTAAATTTGACATGATATTCTTAAAGAAGACAAAAAGTTGCAGTAGTCAGTACAAGATATAATCTGCAGACATAAAGGGTAATACTACAAATAAAAGAAAATGGCAACCCAAAGCCTAAGTCCATTTGGAACTTTGAAGTTTCAGCCCTCTTGCTGTGCCTACAAAGATGAAGATAAAATGTGTCAGTGGATATTTGGCAGGGAAAGCCTCCCATCAAACCTTACCTCAGATAAGCCCACTTATGGCAACTTACACTGTTGACTAAATTTTGTAACATGAGTGTCTATACTGTAAGATTTACCAGAAATGTCATAGTGAAAGTGTCTTCAACTTTGTCACTCTGTTAGAGAAATTTTATCCTGTATCATATGGCTGGGTAAAATTGAAATTGTACCTGAATTTTGTATTGATAGATTTCCTTTGATGTAGCCTAATTGTAGTTTTATCTACAGCCTTATAATCCCTGCAATGGAAGAAAAAGAATCCTCCATATTCACAGCAGAGCATCAGAGAGACTCCCGCATGTCGGTCTTATGTTCTCTCCTGCCGTGAATATGTGGAGGATTCTTTGTTTTCTTGGGTGGGGGCTAGGGGTGCTAGGACTCTCCATGGGGAGGTTGCAGGGGCCTGCATTAGACAGTATAGTGACTGATTGTGAGTATATTATTCACATTTTACCCCGCAATTTCCTTGGTACCCTTCATGTTTTCCCCTGCTATCAGGGCCATGATTGTCGCTAATGTGTGTGTGTGTGTGTGTGGGGGGGGGGTGTCCCATGCAATAATTTATATACATTTGGATATTACAGAATGAGAGGAATACATTGATACCAAAATCGTTCTAATCCGATATGAGGAACTATTGTGTGAAATTACCCAAGCTAGAAGTAGGCACAAATTAAGGTGCGCGACACAGAGATAAAAGGAAATGGAAACTTTCATTTTATAAAGCATAAGAAATAAGAATAAAGAACAAAATATGTACAGCTGCAATGGTCTCATATTTACCGTGAAATGACAAAAAATTTAATATTGGCTGCCTATCACCGCTTAGACACTTAGTCCACACAGCCAGAGTTCTTAATGTCCATTTCTATAAGTTAGCACAAAGTGCATATAAAGGGGATGGGGGGTAATTCTTAACAGTATGAATGCACTCACCAGAGGCAGTCTCCAACTCCTTGTCAAAAAAATTATTCATCAATATAAATTGCCATGACTGTGCGTGCCCACTGCCCGAGGGAAGGGTTGATGGGGGGCTCTGCTCCCTAACACCCCCTGGGAAACATTGTCTCCACCTTAGTATTCTCAGCAAGATAGAGTTGAAACTCAGGAGCACAGAGTAGGCTCAGGCTAAGAGTGGCACTTTCCACAATCTTTTTCCTTTAATTGTGGTACAACCATTTGTGTCAGCAGATTATTTCTTGTGCCGATGACTACAATTTTTGTCCTCTACAAGATTATTGTATTCAATTTACCCTAATTTAGTGTGTCTACCGTCAAGATTAACCAAGGTAGGAAAGGTTAGGTTGGATGTTTGGGTTTGCAAGATACCCAGGTTTTGGGATGGTCTGTGGAGGGTACATTGTTCTCGTTCACAATTACCTGGAAGTGCGCTGACCAAAGAGGCTGCGATAATCACTAATTAGACAACTTGCTAAAGCCACGTCAGCAGCCAAAGGTTGGCGCTCCAATGGTTCTACAAACTCTCCAAGGAGGGATAGAGGGAGTGGAGTCCCTCAAAAAATTCCAAGGGAAATTTGGGAGTTCTGAAAAATTGATCACTTTCATTGGTATCTTTGCAATATCAAATCAACAATGCTCCTGGTCTATGTCAAACTCCCAAGCTACCGGGACCAATATAGCAACATAGGTACAGAAACACCTCATTTGTAAACGATTCCATAGAATTCAAACATTAGCTGCCCTTCGTAACAATATACTGAAAATGAAATGTATTAAGAATTACCGCTCTATTGACCTCATGCAGTTTACCTCGAAACAAGTATCCATCCGAAGCTTTCATAATTCACCGGCTTAAATCCACAAAAAATAAATCCAAAATCCTGCCAAAAAAAATAAAATAAATAAATAAAATGACCGGAAACCTAGACCTCTGAAGGACTTCTTCCTTCAACGCGTCATTCCTACAAAACGAACCTCCTATAACGACCACAAACCAACCATCCCCTCTTAAACGAACTTAACTCCCTCCTCCACGCCCTTAACCGAACTAAAACTTCATTATCGGGCATCAAATCAACGGAATTTTGCAACACCTACGTTTTCATCGTTCAAGAGCGCCAATTCGCACCGCCAAGAAGCCGTTGTTTACGCCGCCGACGACCCGCCCTTTTTGAATCCCGACTGGCGCGCCGGTTCCTTCGCGGGGTTTCACTCAGGCGAGTCGGATAATTTATGGGGTATGAGATTCAACGCTTGGGTAAAAAGGGGGTCTGGTATACAGAAGAGAAATTCGAAGGTTGGAAGGAAAAAAGTCCAGTCGTATTACTAGATTAATGAATACACGCACGCATGCATATACGTACAAAAAAAGAAAAGAAAGAAAGAAAAAAATACACACACACACACACACACACACACACACACACACACACACACACACACACATATATATATATATATATATATATATATATATATATATATATATATATATATATATATATATAACTAGAGAGTCTCAGATAGAAAGAGGGAGGTAGGAGAGAGAGAGAGAGAAGAGAGAGAGAGAGAGAGAGAGAGAGAGAGAGAGAGAGAGAGAGAGAGAGAGAGAGAGAGAGAGAGAGAGGAGAGAGAGAGAGAGAGAGAGAGAGAGAGAGAGAGAGAGAGAGAGAGAGAGAGAGAGAGAGAGAAGAGAGAGGGAGAGAGGAGAGAGAGAGAGAGAGAGAGAGAGAGAGGTAGAGAGAGAGAGAGAGAGAGAGAGAGAGAGAGAGAGAGAGAGAGAGAGAGAGAGAGAGAGAGAGAGAGAGAGAGAGAGAGAGAGAGAGAGAGAGATCTAGGATCTGATCTTTGTCACTATGGAAGGTGTTTCTTATACATAGAGAGAGAGAGGAGAAGAGAGCGTGAGAGAGAGAGAGAGAGAGAGAGAGAGAGAGAGAGAGAGAGAGAGAGAGAGAGAGAGAGAGAGAGAGAGAGAGAGAGAGAGAGAGAATCTAGGTTTTTTATCTTTGTCACTATGGAAGGTGTTCCTTACACTTGTATAAATGAAAACTCAAAATTGCAAATCTTTGTATATCATAGGAGCAGGATGGTATTTTAAAGTGGAGAGCAAAGTAGATTCCCCTCGGAAATACCCGGGGGTCCTGGATTTATGCAGTTTTAAAGAGACAACCTGCATTAATTACTGCATTAAAATGTATGACATATTTCTTTAGATATTACCTGACATGATGATTATTTCATTTTGAACTCCAGACTCAGTTGTAGCTGCTCTTTCAGTTGCAAGGGGTCAGCGTTCTCAACAATTGGGTAACTAAGGAATTGCAGTGTTTGTTTACCGGGAATGTCCTCGAGAGTTGAGGAGTTGGGGCAGTTGGGTCCCGCCCACCTTTTTCTACGCCTATATAGATCATCCAAGTAAATCTTACATGTATAAGGCCACTGCGAAACATAAATCATTTCTTTTAAAGTACCTAATTGCATGAAATAATGAATCTTACATAATCTAGAACACTGATTGTCAGTTTATGTTAGGCTATGGACTAGCCCAATTAAAGTTTTGTGAACCATTCCGTTTTTGAGTATGGATAAAATAAGCATACACAACAAACATTTTGGCAGGATATGTATTTCTACAGAACTAAATTTCGAGAAGTTAGCATAAACATAAATTCCTAACATGGATGGTCATATATCCTTTTGTCGTGAAATTAACACCAAACAAATTCAAAACTTAAATAATGCAAGGGTTTACAACTAAAATTGTCCTTTCAAATTTTATAATTATTTTTTCCTTGTAACTCGACTTTTGGATTCTCTTTTCACTGACAAGATTTTCATTATTAAGAGTGGTACTTAACAATGTACAACGCATACCACTTTCCACCGAAAGTCGATTTTTTTTGTTTCGACCCAATGTGCAACAGGCATGAAAATCCACTCTCGCACAGGTGTAGGTTGCGGTACATCATGTGGAAGCCCTCTCCCCCCCCCCCCCAAAAAAAAAAAAAAAACTGGACTGAACTGGGCCACCAGTCGTGAACCACTAATCTAGACTATGAGGTATTTCCACCTTTACCGATAAAAGGCAGAAGCAAAAATGCCACAAACTTTTGATGCTGGAAGTGTGCATTTACTATCAGTATTAAGGGGGTGTTAGGGCTCAAAATATATTTTTTTTCTGAAGACTGTAATAGATCGCTAAAATAAGTTTGTGATGGCAACATTTCGTGAATATATTTGCTTGAAGGAATTTTTCAAATAAATGATGTAGTTATCCCTACCGCTGGCGACCCTACGATTCTAACGAGAGTTATTTCACCCAATAAATTTATAATTACTAAAGTTTTGTTATTTGTTAATGTTTCCATACATCATATGGAAACAAACAGTCAACCTCAGGATGTTTCCACTTAAGGATAGCATGTCGTACGTGCTAAGTGGCATGTGACATGTGGAACGGTGATTTCAGAATGAGTTTACAAAACTTACAGGTGGCGCTTGAACTCAGTTCACGAGATGGATGATGACAATGTTGTCCCAAAGCCTAAATAATTTTATACCAATCATTCATCTGCCACTGGTAAGAATAAAATGGAGGTTTAGGGGGGATAATGTAAGGCAAACTTGTTCTCTCATTGCCTGGGATTATGAGGGTAAGTTTGATGTGACCCCAGACCTGAAACTACAGCACATCAATGCGCAGTTGCCTGCATTCATTCATTGTACACCCCCGTCTTCTGCAAAGGCGGCACTATGTTTACATTGCCGTACTACGTACGCCCTGAATGGATTGGAGCACGAGATCACATTGATAAAGAATTCGAAACAAAACAATGAAACAGTACCCTGAAAATACTCTTACGGATTTTCTTTTCTCAGAAACAAAATGTGTCAACCATGGTGACGATTGTCAGTCAATCTACTACCGTGATAGACATTTGTACGACAGCATGCACATCGCATTGTTTCCTGCAAGACCGCAGATAATTACCCTCCTCTCCAAAGCCTCACTTACTGGGCGACCGAAGCAGTGTTTTCATTGCCAAATGTGTATGGCGGAAATCTATCTAGACCAGCGAATCCAAACTGGGGGCCATTGGGTACTTTTACAGGGACATGGAGCAATATGAAAAATTTGACGTCAAATTAAACTGAATATTATCTCCCCAACAGTATCTACATCTCTCTCACATATCAAAATATTGGAATATTTCCGTGTAGTGTTCTTGACTTATAGCTGTTGCCACTATTACACTATTCATAACTAATAACTGAAATTGAAAAGATACTGGAGATTATTATACAGTAGTTGGGGGCCACAGAATTAAAAAAAGGCTGGGAACCATTGGTCTAGACTCTAGACCAGTGATTCCCAACCTTTTCTATTCCGTGACTCCCAACCAATATATAATGATCTCAATAACACCAGTGTCTTTTTAGATTCAGTTACTACTAGTTATGAATAGTAAAATGGTCCCAACCGCTTTAGGACAAGAACACTCCATGGAAAGATTCCAGTTTATTGAAATGTGAAACGTATCCATGTGAGTGTACTGTATATTGAACAAACCAGTTTAATTGTCATAATTTTCACTTTGTTCCATGCCCCCCCACAAAGTATCTCATGGCCCCTAGGATGGGAACCCCTGCTTTAGACACTTCAAGACTACTCTACTGTATATATGCCATACATCCAAAAGTTTCTTTTTTATCTTTATATTATATATATATATATATATATATATATATATATATATATATATATATATATATATATATATATATATATATATATAGGTATATATATAATATTATATATATATATATATATATATATATATATATATATATCTATATATATGTATATAATATATATATATAATATATAATATATATATATTATATATCATATAATCATATATATATATATATCTATCATCTATCTATCTATCTATCTATCTATATATATATATATATATATATATATATATAATATAATATATAGGTATAATATATATAAATATATATTATATATATTTCTATATATATATATATATATATATAAATATATAAATATATATATATAATATTATATATATATATATATATATAATATATATATATATATATTATATATATATTTTATTTATTTATTTATTTATTTTTATTTTCTAATTAATACATCATCTTTGCTAATAATGACTTTGGGAGCCATCATAATTCGTCCGTTCTCACGATCCGCGTAAACACCAATCTGTCGATTTTGATTTTATGTGTATTTGATGTCAGTGTACCAATGCCTGTTGTCTCAAATTTATGCGACCTAATTTCTTCCAAATACTGGCCAGGTTTGGCACATTGAAGGCAGCGGGTTGTGGAACCAGCATTTCTGATATTGGCAGAAGAGAGGTCGATATGGTAGGGCAGAGTAGGATTCCCCATCAATATAACTCCATGGGAGTGGTCATGTCTATTGGCAACATTGATGTAGGACTTATGTTGTTCTCTGGGGTAAATAGTGAAGCAGTGTAGAGATTACTGCATCATCGTCTAGGTAGACAAGTCGTTTTCAGTCTGACCTATCTTTTTCGTTTACTGGGCAATTAGCCGGGAGATGGAAAGGTTAATGGTTAAAAGAAATAAATGTGCTAGACATCAAAGATTATATAGCACTATGGTTAAGTAGTATGGCAAAACAGGTAAACATGTGTTAACGATATGAATAATATGTGTTAGATGTCAAAGGTTATAGAGCGTTATAGGATAGCATGGTAGTGAGAGGCATAGAAGGGGGCGGGTAGCACATGAAGGCGAGGATTAGTAAAAGAAAAAAATGTGAAAGGCGTAGGGCGACTGGATGAAAGGTGAGAATCTGTGTCTGAGCAAGAAGGAGGAACATTGTTTAAGGAAAATTGTCAAAGGAACCATCATGAAACAATCATTGGGTAATACGGGTAGAGATGGGTGTTGGAGAAGCTGGAGGAGAAGAATAAGATAAAGGAGATGGAAGGTTGGTGAAGTATCAGAAAGAATTTCGGGAGGGGAAGGATCCGGAGAAGGACACTGTTGCGTCAGAAGGGAGTCAGGTGAGCATCCAAGTGGGAGCGGTAAGGATGACAGGGAATGAAGAGGGAATGGTGTACATGGAGAGGATGGGGTATGTTGGGAGAGAGTGGGAGGAAGGGGGTAGGGGGAACCTGGGGAGGAGGAGGATGGATATCGGCAAAACTTTGAATGTAGAGAGAATAAGAATAGAGGGACTGGTGAGTGCCACTACATCATAGATTGCACTGCCACTGCATCATAGTCAACGAGGCAAGCAAGCAGGTAGTTTTCACAGTCTGACCAGCCCTTGTTGTAGATAGGGGAATCAGTCAGGGAGACGGAAAGTTTCAGTAAGTATTAAGAAAGAAAAGAGGTTTGACAGGAGTAGGTTCGTCAGAGTAGATAGTGCACGAACTTGAGACTCAGATGTTACTATTTAAAGGCGTGAGCGATTGGAATGACTGAGAAAGGAAAATTTGCATTCCTTTTTTTCGGAGGCATTGTTGGAAGAGAAGGTTATTGTTAGAGTAAGAGGAATCACAAAGAATCGATCCCAAAAAAGAGTACCCAAAAGTTTGCAGAGGTGGAAGCACTAGAAGGACGGGGGCGGGAGGAAGAGGGTGTGGAGTAGAATGCGCTAGGAGGACAATAAGGATGAATAATAGTAATAAGGGGGGAGGGGGTAGACATTGCAGAAGACTGTGTAGTATGAGATGGAGTGGAGGGTGGTGGGAAAGAGGAAAGGGTATATTTTGATGATTGACGCATGAACTGGGTGAATGATTCGGAATGGATAGTTAACAGCAGATTGAGGAGGGAGTATCAGTGATCGGAACCGTGGTCAAAGGAGAAGCAGGGGTCGGGAAACTGGTGATTTCAAATTTAGACAGGTTAGTTGATGAAGGGGCAAACCTAAATTGTCCCTAATAAAGATTTACGAAAATTGTCATTACTGACCAAGGTGATCCTGAAATAAGTGGGGGAGAGGAAACAGTTTACCCTTTTCCATAAGGGTAAAGGCTAGGCTATTAACCAAGGGAATACCATGTCTGTGGCTCCTGGAGACAGTTCAGGACTGCTACAAAGCGAAGCTTTCATATATTCAGCACGGCTCTCACACCGTAGGAATGGGCATAAGGGGAGATGGAAACTATGCCGTTACAAGTATTATGGGATAACTGAGGCTGGGCGGGAATAGGTTTTGCCACAGATGTCAAATTCACAGAGGCTAGTCCCTGAACAGGGATACAAAATCTCCATTCTTGGCAATGGTGAGCATGAAATATATGGGAAGAGAAACAATCTACCCTTAGGGTCCCCATGAGAGGCAAGATTTAGATGATTAACCAAGGGAATATCATACTCATGGCTCCCCCCGGGGCTGTTCAAGACTATCACAAAGCCAGTATTTTTATCGTTTCAGCATGGCTTTTAAACCTTAGGAAGTGGGCTGAAGAGATTGAAAAAGAGAAGAAGAAAGAAATAGGGAAGACGAAAAGACCATGCAAAGATGGTTGAGCTGAAGGCTGAGGTCCAAGGTAGTCCTCATTTCCTATGTCCACCCCTAATGGTGATAACACACATGGGATTGGTTGTGCTATAAATGATAAAACTCAAAATTGCAAATCATTGTATATTATCCAAATTAATCTTACATGCATGCACATGAAGTCACTGCAAAACACAAATCCTTTCTTTTAAAGTACATAATTGCATGAGAATATAAACCTTAATGAATCTAGAATATGAGAATATTTTCACCTTTGCAAAATGAAAAGGAGAAAAAAACTCTTCATAAGAACCCTTTCATGCTGGGAGTGCATTTGTCCACTGTGATTTTGTTTCCACATAGATGGCGACACAGACAAATCACCGAGGAGTCAATTAATAGGCCTATCTGATCAAATCTGTTTACCCTGTTTTATTTTCATTTATTTTATTCTTTTATATTGTTAATATCATTATAGTGATAATGGGGATACTGATAAAAAATAATACTATTAAAAGAACAGTAATAGTTATGTAGATAATAGGCTTCTATCCTGAAATTTCAAGTAATGAAGCAAACAGGTAAGATTAAGTATGGCCCATGATTTGACTCCCTAATTAAGTGCCTATGAAGTCATCTGTATGTAATTATGATTAATAAAGTAAAATTACAGTGAACAGCATATGTATCCTTCAATAATGGGTTAAAAGATAACTTTTTTTTTTTTTTTAAATAAAATATAACCAAACCATTGCATCTTGATTACAGAATAGTATCAATATTTGAAAAAAAAAATACATTTTAGATCTCCTACAAAACAAATAATAACAGAACCAATGGAGATTTCAGACATTTTACATAGCTTACATGTGTCATCAAAACCATGAATACCAGGACATCAATAAAATATATCACATCACTTGGACAACAAACGTCCACATATATGACTGACTATAAAATTGTTTGTCCCTATCAAGAGAGATGATAAGAAATGACTATCTCCCACTAACGAGGTAACCATCCCTATGTTACTTTATTGGAAATCTTATGAACAATGTTATTTACCATCAAGATGCCAAAAAAGGAATTTTCAATTAGCTAATAAATTGATGAATGTAGGAATTTACTGTCTTATTTCTTCCCTTCTGCAGATGATTCACTACCTTGCTGAATAGTTCAAATAGTATAGATTAACCACTTTGTACAATGGAACTGTCTAAGTAGCCTCTAAAATTAGTTGAACAATATCTTTGTTTTAATTATACAATGCATATGGGAAATATTGTATAAAAAAGATGTCTTCATATCAATTTTATAAAAGGTTATGTACAAAAATGTGAATTCAGAACAAATATGATAGAAAATGTATTTCTTCTAATCAACAATGCCTGTTGACAAGTTCACATACAAGCTTTGAAGTTTAAAGAAAATATATAACTTAACTTGTAAGACAGAAAAGGTTAGAAATATTTACTGATGCATCCTAAAAATCTGTCAATATCACAGAAAAAAAAAAAGAATTTTTGCTGTTTTCTTGTAAAATTATTTCAAATATTTGTTGTACATTTAAATTCACCTACAAGTCCTATTATCTGTAAAATTTCAATGCGAGAATAATTGCAATAACTTGACTATAGAAACAAACTTCTGCAAGCCATCTGTATTTTATCTTGCAGTAATTAATTTGTCTATTTTGGTGGGCCTCTGCTACCTTGCACTTTAGCACTTGCTGCATCTGAAGCCTTCACAAAAGTACGTTGTAATTTGTTCTTTTTTCTTTCTCTGTAGCCATTTGCAACATCCTTTGCAAGAACTGCAACCTGTTTCATGGTCTGTTCTGGGTACCTGAATATGGAAGAGGGCAACAATAGAGCCATGTGTATAAAGAACAAAATGACAAACAAGAACAAGCTATTTCAATTTCACTTCAGTAATAGTATGACAAGAAATATGAAAATTATATGACCATTGTGAAAGAGCTTACTTTAAAATTCAACAACTTACCTACAACCTAATAATTCTACATTGACAAAGACCTGTGCGAGGCAAATTAAGCGTTCTTCAGGGATCCTGTCTTTGTGTGCCAGAATGAAATCACCCAGTTTTCTTTCGCTCTCGTAGAAGGTGTGATAAGCCTCCACATTCCAGTTGGTGTTAAAGCTCATTCTGTCCTACAAATATGATAATAACAGTTAGGCAAAAAATTAGTAACTAAGAGGTAAATAACATATGTAGTCAGTCACAAATTAAGTATCAAATACAAAGAAAATAATAAATGAAATTTGTCACAAAGTTTAATAAATAACAAGAAGAAAATTGTGGCACAAACATTCTGACTAACAACAACAAAAAACAGAGAAACATATATAAGTAAATATGTGAAATGTATCATATGATAAAAAAAAAAAAAAATGTCCTGTATCAAATTAAGGGAACAGAATATGAATTTCTCATTCATTTCACAAAACTTACACAATAATTGAGTAGTTCCTGCAATATAATGTTTAAACCATGTAAGCCTACCATCTGATAACTTCTGCAGATTTTTATTTTTTAAATTCTATCTTTATGTATTCATTTTTTATTCATTTATCATTATCATTGTCACATTGTATCATTTGGCCTAGAACTAATCAGTATAAATTCCTTAAGCTGGAAAAATAGGAAATTATAGGGGGATATTGGGTCTCTGACTAAACCTATCCTAAGAGCAACATTTTTTCTAAATCTCCTTTTAGAGTAAAATATAAAAAACAAAACACAGATTTTGAAGATGATTTAATTTATATATACTACTATCCATGTATTTATGTAACTGAATGTCAGAGCAACCATTAGACACAATTAAACTAAGATGAAAATAAAAATGTAAGGTATTTATTTAAAATGAGCCTTCCAAATATGACATATCTTATTTGCAAAGGTCTTTCAATACAGACCATTCAATTCAATCACTGGTGATTTTCAGTAATCATTATTGATAATAAAAAAAAGGGGAAAAAAAAAAGAAAGAAAGAAAAGAAAAAAAAAGGGGGGGATTCAAACATCCATATTTCTCAAACAGTGAATTACACAGATAAGTTGTTTTGCCATACGCCTTCCTTAGTTGCCGTTGTTACCAAGCATGGAAATATATTGAGGGAAATCTAAAGTAAAATGTATAAAAAAGAAAGTATACAATATATAAACTTGAATGATTACAAATCAATCATATTGGAGTAACACATATATTCTTATAAATATTTATATAAAAATAATGATTATTGCTGGTCACATCCCAATATTTTGGTCGTAGAAATTGAATCTAAATTTATTTGCCTTCATTCATACATTTTTCAATTTATTTGCAAGTTGTTAAGTGAACTGTGATAGATGATACCTGAATTTTCTTTCCAACAAAGTACAAACTTTCAGTTACACACTAAATTTTGCTCTGTTTACTACCCTAAACAATTAAAAGTTGCCAAAGTAAACTAAAAAGAAAGAAAAAGAAACTGAAGGTAAAGCTGAAAATATTCACAAGCCAATACGAAATGATGGTCAAGCAATATTCTAATTTGTTGCAATTGTGTCTTCTAAGCCACCTATTCAACCACTCAGCATCAAAATACTGTGGCCAGATTCAGCCCACATGACTATCACAACAAATAATAATGTTTGAAGAGAGTCTAATCATGGCATTGAAAAAAGAAAAACGCTGCTGAGGAAGTATCTTTCCCTAAACTTATTGCAACGAGTTTATGTGATGACCCACTACCTGCCACTCCCTGATCTCATATTTTGACTACTTCTATAACATATGTTGCTCACTCCTTTGTATATATAGCTTTTATGTTAAATGTACCTATAATGATTGCCCATGTTTATCAAATCTACCGAACTTACATTAACAACTGTCAGTTACCCTTATTCACTAAGAAAATACAAAATACCAGTTGCAACTCTGATACTTGTTGGATAAGCTGGACTAGAGCTAGTGGTGTACATGATATATGGGGCTGCATTTCATAGCTCTGCAAATTAAGATTTCGCTCTTTTTCCTATACACAAATTATTAAGCATTACTAACAAGACTCTACAAAAAGCGGCATATTTGTTTATTAATTTAGTCCACTGATATCATTTATTCATTTATCAGCAAGATTTCTAAAATCAAAAAAGAATAGAAAGAAATGGAAAATAAAGGAAATTCTATAAGATTTTCAAATATCACATACAAAAACACACACACAAAAGTTTGGTGATTGTTTAAAATGTCTTTGCAAAACTGATTTTGACAATTTTGGCATGGATGCATTCCTTTCATTCTCTAGTACACACACACATAAATTTGCAATAGCATGGGAAGGCATAAAAGGTACCAGGGAAATTGTGGGGTAAAATATGAATACTATATGAACACTATAATAATAATATACACAAAACTAGTTACTACTTTGTCTAATGCAACACCCCTCCTGGGGGACTGCTGCCTGCAATTCTTCATGGCAGGAAAACATTTGACATATGTGGGAGTGCCTAATGCCAATTCTGTCCTAGATTCTGTCCTGTTGTACAGTATGGAAAGTATGGCAGATACACACCCAAGACTTGTTTGAGTTCCTGGTTGTACATCTGAGTGATTTATGGTAGTCAACAATCAAAATAATTATGTAACATCAATATGGAACAAGAAATTTACTAATATCCTAAAGGACTTTCAAGCATTTTTTTAGCTGAAAAGATTCAGGATGAGCACTCTTGAAGTGCACACTTATGGTGTTTTAAGCAGGGAAATTTCTTGCCTAAAATCTCCAGAATTTTTCTTTCTTTCTCAAGCAACCCCTGTAGATGGCTAAGCTTTTGCTTGCTAAGTCAAGCAGTTTACGGTCAGCATGGCAACAGTGTTGTTTGCATACCATACTGATTAGCCTTCGATGTGGGCATTGGTCAAGAACTCTGCTTAATATTTTAACAGAGAAATAATTTTTTATGGTTTCTGTTTCTGTAATTTCTATAACATTCAGTTTTCAGTTCATTTCAAAGAAATTGAAATGAACTGAAAACGAAAGGAGATAATGGAGATTATGGAAATGAAACAGTTAAACTATTATAAGACTAACACATCTCTTACTTTTAAACTCCTAGCTTCTCTAAATCAAGAATATACCTACTACTCAATGAAACTGAGAATATTTCAAGTAGAAAAGTCTGAAAAATTCTAGCAACATTCTTCTATTCATATTGTATTCAATGACTTTTATTTTCAACTTCATAAAACTGTATATATAGAAATGGATAGGCCTTTATTTTCATTCAGTGATGTTCATTTGTTTTCATAGCACATCAGAGTGTAAGGGTTGTCAATTGGAAGTGTGTGTCACTGTTTTAGAGGCACTGTATATACATATAAGAGAAAATATTATGCTTTGTAATGATGTTAGGGTAACACATTTATTGTGGAAGATACTTAAGCCTTTCGTGTAGATTAGCAACACTACTCAGACTCTAGCAGTCGTTTTAAATAGCAAACGGTGCAGTTCTTGGCCTTGAAGCAAGAATTCTTGACCAAGTGAACCCCTCCTTAAAACATCTTTAATAATTGTTTAGTAGCTGCACACTTCAAATTTTTTTGGTGCACATCCGAGATCTCGTCAAAAAGTGTCGTAATTTCCATGATGGCCTGCTGTGGTGTATTCTTTGTTGTCCAGAGTAGGGGCTGGGTGGTAGCAGCCCCCCATGGAGGGGTTAAAGGTGTCACTGCCCCTGCATTTCACTATTAATAGACCCATTCTCTACATGTTACTCATATTTTACACTACAATGTCCCTAGTACTAGTCCTGTCCTCCCCTGATTATGGAGCCAAGACTGTGGGTATTGCAGGGTCTCCACAGCATAATTTCTAAATATTTGAATACTAGCGTGGGAAAATCCATCAATACCATGTGTAGGTGTTCTGAATATTTACAAAAGACCAATGGCTCATACTCGACCGGCTTTCATTGAATACGTGAAGGACTGGAAGAATTTACCTGGCTCACTTCATGTCTTCCCTAGGTGTCCGGAACAATATCATTGTAAAAGCTGAACATCACTGTTTAACACTACAATAAATCAACCAGACTACAGAGAGAGAGCAGTATTTCTCGTAATAATTTTTGGCTGAGAAACTAAAAGTTGTATCTTCGAATTGTACAGAACGTACCTCATTACTTTCCCATTATACAGCAAAACATTGCCTTAAATCAATATTTTCCATCGCGGAATCCTACGCTAAGACAGTTGGTACCATTTCATGGCCTAAGTATAGATACGTGTAATATCTCCCAGTACCTTTAGTAATAAACGTGATCTTCAAAGATGCTTCTCTGCGCTTTTGCTCACCGCTTGGTCCGCTCCTCGTTTGTTTACATCAACCCAAGCGCAACAACATCAACGAGCATGGATATAAAGCTATGGAAAACATCCATATGATTATTCTTTGCCATCAATTAGTAATTTGTGAATCATAAAAATAGTAATAAAAAGATCATACACTTTCCACCACAAAATTGATATGATTTGACAATGTGCAAACTTCCCAATTTCGAAAAATCTGCCGTTTATATATCGTCTATCTGTCTATCTATTCATCTACTTACCTACTTACTTACCTGCCTACCTAATTCCATACACACACACACACACACACACACACACACACACACACACACACACACACACACACACACACACACACACACACACACACACACATATATATATATATATATATATATATATATATATATATATATATATATATATATATTATATATATATGTATACACACACACACACACACACACATATACATATATGTATGTATATATATTTACATATATATATATATATATATATATATATATATATATATATATATATATATATATATATATATGTGTGTGTGTGTGTGTGTGTTGTGTGTGTGTGTGTGTGGTGTGTGTGTGTGTGTGTATATATATATATATATATATATATATATATATATATATATATATATATATATATATGTGTGTGTGTGTGTGTGTGTGTGTTGTGTGTGTGTGTGTGTGTGTGTGTGTGTGTGTGTGTGTGTGTATATAT